CCTCTGATGTGCTCATTCCTAATCCTGTCCATCCTGGTCACTCCTAACGAGAACCTCAACATCCTCCTCTCTGCTACGTCCATCTCTACCTCTTGTCTTTTCCTCACTGCTACAGTCTCTAACCCATACAGCATAGCTGGTCTCACTACTGTCTTGTACACCTTTCCTTTGATTCTTGCTGCCACTCTTCTGTCACACAACGCTCCTGACACCTTTCTCCACTCATTCCAATCTGCACTTGCGTCTTCACCTCTTTCCCACACTCCCCATCACACTGGACTGTTGACTCCAAATACTCACACACACACACAACACACAACACTACTGACACCTTTCTCCACCCACTCCAACCCACCTGCACTTGCCTCTTCACCTCTTTTCCAAACATAACCATTAACACTGTCTTGTCCAGTGATGATGAGCTTTGCATATGATATCTGTCAAACACCTTGAAGCTTTGGTCATTTACTGTTGACAAATGCAAAACAGAAAACAGCTACATCGGTCAGGAAAGAACAAGAAAGCCCACTGACGTATAAGACAACTGGGCAATGCTTCTCTGTAAAACCAAGGCCCCACTCTCCCAGATCTGTTTAAACCTTTGACAACAGAGAAAATTAAATAATATGGCCTTTTTAATGACTGGCCTAATTCAATAGAGGTCCAGCCAATTGGTGCTAGTAGTCTCACAAAAGAACACTCCAAGCAGCTCACTTTACATATTTTTATTTAATTGACATTACTTTGTAGAAACCTGTTTTCACTTTGACATTAAAGAGATTTTTTTTTGTCATTTTTGATTTATAAAATCAATAAAAGGGTAAAACATCCAAGGGGGTGAATACTTTTTATAGGTACTGTAACTGAGAGTGTCTAACCCACGTGGTACCTGTGAGGCATCTGATCCTTTGGACTTAGCCAGAAATCCTGCCCTAATCCCACAGCCAGGTCTGTTCAGTGGGTCTCCTCCTTTTGGCCTGGTTATGGGTTAGGGAGCAGGCAGGTTCCTGACCTTTTTGGAGATTTACAAGAGCCTGCCCTGATGAAGGGCACTTGGCTCCAGAAGATGGTTAAATGGGTAGTATGGTTGATGTCCTTTCGGCAGAAGTGTAAAAGTTAAGTACACAGCCAGTAAACAAAGACTTGTATGTTTATGTACATCTTGTCTTTTTCAAGGTGCTGAATTTTTTGCTGTGGTTTTGTCTTTGCAGAGTCCATTCAAACAGTGCTGCAGGATTTTCTTTTGCTGTGAGAGCAATTACGTGTTAATCATGAAATTATTTCCTTTATTTTGGACAGGTCATTTGAGATGAAGCGTATTCAGACTGTGATTTTTGTTTAAGCAAACATGTAGCAAATCATAGTGCCTGTGCATGGTGCTGCCTAGGTGTGTGCTTGCTACAGACACGACTGAGTGTACATATGTTCCTTTGTTTGCCTGTGTTTTTTCCAACATGTCGAGTCTCAGTAAAACGTCTTATAGTTATTAGGGGGATTTAAAAACATGATCATTATGACTGTATCATATTGCTTCATGAAATATGTATAGGGAATTTGACAGTTCCTCAATCTGCAGTGTAAACATCAGTGCAAATATTGCCATTAAACTTTGATATCTATGGTAAGAGAGTATACTAAATATTGGTTGTTTTGTCTATGGTGGCTGACCATGTGACTATTGCTGACTCACTCAGCCCACTGTGCAGATCTCTGATGGTTTCAGTCATTCAGATAATTATTTGGCTTATCTGACCTAAAGCCAGGTCATTTCTTTAGCTCAGATACTGCACATATGGATAGACGGCATCAGATGCCCCACTTCTAACCTGGACTGTTGGACCTGACTGATGTAGTATTGATGTTTGTGTACATAAGTATTCATTTTCTCCCTTTTCTGATCTTACAGGAAGGTGACTCTGGTGATGGTGGGACTGGATAATGCAGGGAAGACGGCCACAGTACGAGGAATCCAAGGAGGTTAGGGCGTTTTGTTATAAAATTGTAATCATACAAGGTTTGTGTTTTGCACTTTATTCTAGTGTTAAAAAATCTTGATCAGTAACAGAAACCTTGGGTTTGTAAACCATTTTCTCCATTATGTTTAATGTGGACAAATTGCTTCTGTTTTGTATTTGTACACCAAACTTGCAGTTTTGCCTTCCTGCTTCTATCTTTTATCACTCCTTATACATTTTTAAAGTTTTGAAGCAGAATGAGTTGTACTCCAAAGTCTGTGTTCAAAGGTTATTTTGGCCCTATGGCGTACTTATTTTATCTCCCATTGCTGTCTTTCTTTTATCTTTTCCCTCAGAGAATCCTAGAGATGTGGCTCCTACAGTGGGTTTCTCTAAGGTTGACCTGAAACAGGGCAAGTTTGAGGTGACCATTTTTGACCTTGGTGGTGGGAAGAGAATCCGGGGCATCTGGAAGAACTATTACTCCGAATCGCATGGAGTGGTGTTTGTGGTGGACTCCAGTGATGTCCAGCGCATCCAAGAGACACGGGAGACCATGGCTGAGGTCCTCCAGCACCCCCGCATTGCTGGCAAACCTGTGCTAGTGTGAGTGCTCTATCATCAAGGAAATCATACTTTGACACACACTTAAAACATTATAAAATTACATATTGAAAATGTTTTGGGAAAACCATGTAGACACGAAAAGAAAAACATGAGAAGAAAATGTATCTATAGATACATTGCCTGATGTAAGAGTCTGAGTCCTGGGTCGAATTTGTTGCGCAATATGTGCACTGCAAGTTGATTCCTCATAGAATTTGCATAATCAGTAATCAGGACACAAAGCACAGGGAGCAGGGGATTTTAGAATATATTTCCAGGTATTCAGAGATTGTTCCAAACCACAATCAGGGCTGAGTCACATTTCCATAAAACTTCCAGCTGCTGTAACTATGCACCTTGCAAAGTTTGAGTCTGATGACTGCCCTTGCAATTACTTTATTGTTCTCTTCAAAGACTGAGGCAGTTTGTTCAACCTGGAGCTTGTCTAGTCTAGTACAGGAGAGGGAATGCCAAGCAGTCTTTAAAAATTATTTAGCTTTTTTCTCACTAATATCTTGTTTTTTTCTTTCTCTGTTTTCAGGCTTGCCAACAAACAGGACCAGGAGGGAGCGCTGGCTGAAGCAGACATTATTGAGAACCTGTCGTTAGAGAAGCTTGTTAATGAGAACAAGTGTCTCTGTCAGATTGTAAGTGTTTGTGCACCTGTTTTGGAAAGAGATTTGAATGACATTAAGGGTGCCTACATTACGTGTGGTTTTACCTATATATAGACAGAGCATTGCTTGGTTTTGGAGAATCATTTTTATTGCAGGACAGCTTAAGAAAGCAGTTATCTTGATCCAAAGTATCTGAACCATATGAGCATTTTTTTTTCTCAGTATTTTCTTTCTAAATTATGCAGTCTCATCTCTCCAACCCAGGAGCCATGTTCTGCAGTCCTGGGTTATGGCAAAAAGGTCGACAAGTCTATTCGGAAGGGCCTGAACTGGCTCCTGAGCAACATTGCCAAAGACTATGAGGCCATTACTGAGCGTGTGCAGAAGGACACAGCTGAGCAGCATGCTCAGGAGGAGCAGGACAAGAAGGAGCGGGCAGAGAGAGTACGGCAGATACGAGAAGAGAGGTAAGGACAAGAGGATAACACATGGGCCAGAAAAAAATCACCTGTAACCTGTAAATCACTGTCCTCATCAGAACAAACTAGAAAGATGGCAACAGTTAAACAGTAAAATATTCCTCTAATTTATAGAAATGAGCACTGTCATTAAGTCTGACCTCAGTTTAATTTTTGTCAATGTTAACTTGGCACCCAGGAGGTATGTATCTTAACACTGAAGGGTTAACGTCTTATTCTGTCCACAGAGAACAACAGGAGAGGGAAGAGGCAGAACGAGAGGGCAGGCCAACCCAGGAAGACGAGCCTGATGATGAGAACATGCCCAGCCCCTTCCAGCCAATAGGAAACATGGTCTCTGAGGTGTGGAACCACTGTGCACAGACACCACGGGCCTCCTAGTTGGAGCTGAAGTCACTGTATAGTTCAAAGAGTTCAGGAATGACAGCTTTTGGCTTTAATGTTCCTTTCAGAATGAGGATAATGAAAAGGAGAGGAAGAGGCAGAGAGAGCTGAAGGAGGGCAGAACCAACAGCCCGAAGGCAGATGTCAATCAAGAGGAAGAGGAGGACGAGGAAGAAAATGATGAAGAACCAGATGAAACCAGACAAACACTGGAAAATGTCACTTCAGGTGGTGTTAGATCTTTAAACCCAACTTGAAATTTCTAGTCTAGTTTACGACTGTGTACAGTTGTACACCTGCGAATAGCTGTGCCTTGTTGATTTCTGTTGCTTGGTGAATAGTGCAGCAGTTCTCTGTAGTGTGCTTTCTGCCAAGGTATTTCTTTAGAAGTTGTGTGAAAATAAAGAAAAAAGATTCTTTTCTGTCTAGATGCGAGAGCAGCACGAATCTTTGCTCTCAACATGTGGTTCTGTTTGCACTGTACAGGAAGAAAGTCAGGCTTGGTGATAAACACACAGCAAGATATGAAAATCTGTTTTCACTTTGAAAGCAAATGAATAAACCAACACTCAGAAATCAAAAGATATTTCAAGTCAGGGTAACTGTCTGATATGTATCCTCTTATTTCACGAAGCTCACTGCACTGAATAGGTGATGATAAATATAATCACACATTAAGAAGATAATTATGTCATAAATCTTGTATGGCAAGTCCAGTGATGGAAAATGAAGGGAAGTCTTTTTTTTTGTTTAGGCTTATATTAGACAGTGTACATTTCAAGTTTAACCCCTGGCTCTCGTGCCCAAAATGTCTCTGTACATTCAGCTACAACAGGCGATCAAAGCAAGAAGAAGACGAGGAAGCTGCACCTGAAGAGGAAGCACAGGGTGGACCCGCTGAGGACAGAGGATGGACCAGCAGAGAGCCCCACCCCTCCACCTCCTCCAGGTCAGTCGTTCAGGAGCTGCTGTCATTCTTCACCTTGAGAAGACAAAGCTTTTATTTGAAAAGTCGAGCTTCTAATTGAATATGTACTTTGCAATCCAGTTTGATGCCTACATTGCTGTTTGTACTTTCATATCACCTACATTTTACTGCGTGCTGGTTGCTCTCAGTCATATAAAACCTGTGGTGAGGTACTACTGATTTAAACTGCTTTACATTAAAGGTTTTCCACCCATGAGTTTGCAGGAGGCTTTTATTGTAAAGTTGCTATACTGTATAAAATGCAGTGTATGTGTCACCCAGTTAGCAGAACTTGTTTAGCGGTACCTTTCTTTGTGTATCACCTCTGACTTTTCTTTTTCTAGATTTTCCACATTTGCCCTGACGAATGTTTCTTCATCTTGTCTTTTCAGTGGGATGGGGCACACCCAAAGTTTCTAGGCTGCCAAAGCTAGAGCCACTCGGGGACTTGAAACATTCTGGTAAAGCTGCCTGTGAAGTCTGGTTATGCTTCATCCCTCTGTTAACCAGTGTTTAATTTCATGCATTACCTTGTCATACAGCTCAATCAGCATTCACTTTCTCACTAACCTGGTGTGTGGATTAACCGATTTACTAAGTTCCATTGCAGAAAATCAGTGTTTCCTCTATGCACTACAATCTGGATCCACATTTTGACTCCATTAAATGCTATTTGTAAATATTAGCTTGTCCGGTGGACTTGTTTCTTTCATCACGGTGGTCGTAAATTTCTCAGTGCGCTAAACTGAGGAAACACTGAACTCTCTGAATTCCGATGTATGTTGACTGTTAATTTGTCTTCTTCTTGTTCTGCATCCCGCCAGGCATGTGCTTGAATGTGTATGGATTCTTCATGGTGGCAGACTGCTTATCGCTGCATCTTCCACAGCTGCTGCTTTGAGTAGATAGAACATTCACCATCAGTAGCTGTGGTTTTCTTTCAGGACTCCATGGATGATGTTCACTAACAAAAACAACCCTTTTCTCCTCCCCTCCACAGAATTTTACAAGAAGCCTCTCCCACCTGTCGCGAACAGGCTGCAACCTAACAGCGACACACACGATGTCATTTTTTAACAACCTTTACTGACTGAGGTTGGCTCTCAACCAATCATGGCTCTCCCCTTTGCTTTTTGTCTCAAGTGAGCGATGCGTAGCCATCCAAACACATTCCCAGCGAGACAACTTGGGATGCGGTGGACAAGCAGCAACATGGGAAATGGAGTCCTGCTCAGAAGCTGTTATATGGTTCCACAAACTGGCACAATTCAGCTGGAAATACTGAAGCTGCCTGAACTGATTTTGTCAGGCTCTGTCTTCATTCAGTAAGAGCACATTTGGTGCCAAGCTCTTTCTACTACTTTAGACTGAAACTTAATTTTTTATTGCTAATCAGTGTTGGACAGGTTGGGCTCCATATGTCCAACTCATATGCTTGTATGACTGTAGAAGAATGTAAATAGTTTAATTATAACCATTTATATGTTCATGTATGTTACCGAATAATGGATTGGTATATGCACCACCATTAAAAATGATTTAGTTCATTTACTTTTGCACTTTCAGTTTTGACATGTAAATAAAGTATATGATACTGTATGGTGTATTGTAGCTAAATATAGATCAAAAGTCAGGTCTTAAATGGCTTTTCAGAGCTGAGTGCTTTAAATTTGGTCTTCAAGCATGTGAAATGATGGAGAATCCCAAGTGGCAGAGAAGCAGGTGGACTGTGGGTGTCATTTACTACACTGCATTGTACTGTGCACGGAATAGTCTTAAACTACATCATGATTGTTTATTCAGTTTTAGTAATGAATGTCTTGACATTTCATTTAATTGTGGTAAAGGTTCTATGGCCATGAAAATTTATAATAGGGGCCATGTTTTTGTCACTTGCCAGCAACATCAAAAGGATCTTTTTATTGTTAAAACTATAAATGTATGGGGGGGGGAGTCTTTGTCTACAGATTTGTAATGCATTCTGCTGATCACAGTATTGTTTTTAAAGTCAGCCTCAGACTTGTTGCCTTTCAGGTGGCCCTGAGGTGTGAGCCAACACTGTGGTTCCAGTTTTCTGCATCCATTTTCACTTTGAAAATAGATCAATTGCATCTCAAAAGTACAAACACAAATCTAGAAAAAGAGAGAGCTGGGATACTTAAGTGCCCCAGTTTTATTTGTGTGTTGGAAGAGTTTGCAGTGGGATATTGAGGTAGTAGAGCATATCATCACACTGACACCTGGAACAGACAGTTTTGGGTTGGAGTACATGAGAATATCACTTTAAAACTGAATTTCAAATCTATTGTACAACACTCACTATCTTGTTAATGAGCTAGATGTTTGAAAAAATATTTTTTTACCTTGTTTGAATTTTATAACAGCACAGTTAAAGATGTTTTAAATATATTCTTGATGGATTCGAATGAGTTGGCATTTTTCTGTTTGCAGTAGTTCTACATTGACCACTAGATTGAGGTGTGTACTTTTGTCTCCCCATGGACATCACTTGGTTCAACCAGCCCCTGCTTATTGTACACCATTGTATCTTTGTTGCTTCTTATTCAGTTTTTCTGATAATAGCTTTTACACAGGTTAAAGTACTGTACATTTGTAAAATGCCAATTAAGTGCCACCTAACACTGTCACTTTACAGTAACCTACCTTCAGTTTTAACCCCTAAACCTCATAGAACTGTAAGACTGCAGCTGACAGTTGTTTTCATCACCAATATGAAAGTTACTTTCTTTAATAATTGATTGTACCGTGGATAAAAGGTAGTATATGCCCATCGTGATTCCCTGAGATCCAGGTTAACCTATTCAAATTGTGTATTTTGTTTGTCAGAAGACTCTAATAACCACCTCAGTGTTCAAAAATATTTTTACCTGGTTTCCCAGGTTGCACCTGTCTTCTCAAATACAACCAAAGAAGCTCCTGGACCACTTGCATAGAAAACTGTCGAAACTTTGGAAATTGGTTAAAATGTTTCTTTTTAATCAACGTGGACGGAATAGACTATTTTTCATCAAGACTGTTAAGAGTCTTTGGAGATGATGAAATATCATCAGAACAATGGTAAGGCTTTTTAAAATACCTTCCGGGAGTCTCAAACATTGCTGATTAATATTAAGGCTGTCTTTTAGAAAAACAGGTTTCTGTGAACTGATTGTATGATAATACATGGAAGACACAAACGGGCTAAAATAACAGTTCATCTGCTGTTTTGTGATCTGCAAATGTTACTATACAAAGACAGTGCTTTAAAAATAACAGCCAGTGTTAAATGGTCAACAATCTTTGTGTAATAATAGTGCAGCCATTTAAAAGATGGACTATGCAGCACCACATTTTTAGATAACTTTATTTCACAGAATAAAGACAGAACAGTGCCAGGGATAAAATTAATAAAGAGATGATATTTTTGACAAAGCATACACGTCTTCAAAGCTTTTACACTGTTAAAAGAGGAGATAGTCTTTTAAGTCCACGCGACACCCCTTTCCGCCACTGGAGAAAACCAGGACGGCTTTTGTTTGTGATGCATTTTGCAACTACATTGAACTACATAGAGACAAAGCTGAAATAACTTATTAAAAACAAACGTATCACTCTTAAAATGATCGCTTTTACACAAATAAACATGATAATGTCTATCTACATAAAATGATATAAATCACATTTGGGAAAGAAAAATAGTTTGCACTTTTAATTTTTAGTTTGGCCAACGTCCCATCCACTAACCTGGAGGAGGCAGAGTTGATCACCTATACTGCAATCGGTCACCAGGGGGCGCTAGACATCTTTATATCCAGTCTGTTTCATGCATATTCCTATTTTGATAACTATGACCTTTGACTTTGCATCTTTATTTTTCAGTATGTTATCGAGACCACACTGTGTTCTGGTTTTACCCTGACATTAACAACTGCTGACACAGTTTGGTCAGATTTAGTTGACTTCTGCAGCTCTAAAACTCAAAGTCAACCCAACGCTTCCCTTTTTTTTTTCTGTGCCGCACTAAGTGCACTTCCTTTTAGTGGCCTGCACTTCCCTGTTGGGCCTGCTTTATATAAACCCATCATACTGACCTCCAGAAAGAAAGAAACTGAAAACACACAGCTTCCTTTGTCCTATACAAAATTACTCAATTTGAAAGACAACAGGTTTTTAAAATATTGTATAATATCTGCAGACATCCTGAAAGTATAGTTCAAATCATATAGTATCACATATAAGTGACTATGTGACCATTTTGAAAGGGATGGCTGACAATTTGTGTCATGTCCATTGCTGGCACCTCTGCTAACTCATGTGCCAGCAATCGAACTCGACGACGAGGCATATCCAACACACCTAATACCAATCTGCCAAACTGTACTTAAGCCAGGCGCTGGCGTGTCCTCGTTGCCAAGTTTGTCATGTTTGTCACCAGACGCTTTCCTGGCTTCTTGTTTTGTTGATCTCCAAAATCGACTTCCTGATCTCTATGTGGCGAACCTCCCCGGTGTGCTGCTATGCCTCCACCTGCTGTACGCCACTAACCTGAACACTCACCAGCTCTCCTGATCTCCAGTGTTCAGCTACGCTGTCATCTGCTGTTACACCATTCACCAGTTCACCTGACCTCTGGGGCGCTACAGCTTCCCCTGCTGAGACAACACTACCAGTTCTTCTGACTTTCGGTGTACTGCTACACATTCTCCTACATCTTCCCTGGGCCCGGCTCAGCCACCACCGCTCCTCTTCTGATGCCTGCAGTCTCCCGATCACCTCTTACATCCACCATCTACTGTTCCACTCCGTCTCCTCCCCTGCTCCTCATTGTGGTTGTGGTCTCCTCACCACACAACCCCAGGTTGTTCTTCTCCTCCATTCTCCCAGCTGCCCAGTCAGTACTCAATTCATTGGTGAGACCTGCTTGGTGCGTGTGTTTATTCTCCCTGTTTATATTACAAATAAATGCTGATTTCTTGCTCTGAGTTCGAGAGCTGCATTTTGGGTCTGGTTCTGTAACTCCTGACAGTGAACACAGTGTGTACCCTTTTCTGCAATGGTTTTCACATTTTCGTTGCTGTTTGGCTCTTGAAAAAAACTGACAGGACACTGTAGATCTAATCAGCTGCTAATTAAATGTTCTTAGTACATTAAGATAATCTGAATTTGTATTTTAAAGAAAGCTCTGCTTCTATGCTGTTGTTTCTAGTGTGGTATTTGCCTGTTATACTGATACTAGAAAATATGTGCCTGTGAGACAGATAAGCTGTACACCTTGGATTGTAATCATCAACACTGACAGATGAACTGACCTCAAACAAGAATTTAAATGAGCTGGTTCATTATACAGACAGAGCGAGAGACAAAAAAGAATCAAAGCAAATGAATCCAAGAGATTAAAACAAGAGAGAGCAATCTTGCAACTTATTTGTGTGTATCTGGCAAATCACTGCACCACAGTGGTAACTAGTTTTGCACTTAAATTAATCTCATTTCACAGTTCTGTTACTAACATAACTATAACATGAGGTCATGTTTTCTGACTCACTGTTTCTGAGAACAACAAATTTAATGAACTTGTTACAGTTATAAAACACACAGCAGTACAAATCACTTCTTTTGTTTGTGATCACACAATGCAGTAGTGATCACTAATACAACTCAAACTACCCAGAGGATATTTTAATATGGATTCAGGCTGTGTAATAAAACAACCAATGCTAAAATGAGCAGAAAAAAGTGACACCTGCTCAAAAATGATGGATTGCACAATATGTTAAACTATAGCAATTCCTTAACAGGTACTAAACAATTTAAAGCCCTTGTTGACAAAGTAATTACCAAGTGCTGAAGAGAGTGGGCCGACACCATCTTCTCTATTACTTCTTTATCTGGGGACAGCAGGGAGAGAAACATGTGCCAGGATCTTATTAAGCCTAAAAGTGGAAAAAGCAACTCCAGAGAGATGATGGCTTTCTGTGAGTGTATACAGTATGTGACACTTTGGTAATGAGCCTCCACAATCTGCTTTCCTCTCAAAATATTTCGTTTTGGCTGCTCTCATTTAGACATTGTCAAACATCTGTTAGCAGCTTTTACACTCCATGTCACATGCAACCAGAACATTGCAATAATGTGCTGCCTCATTACTGTTGTCCCTGTTGTCGCTATACAGACAAGCTTCATATAAGTGAGGGATGTCATGATGCAGGAGCTGAGTCTCGTGCAGTGATGCTGTGTCCTGGAAGGTGAGGACAGCAGATGCACTGGTGCCCTAAAGCAGGTGTGTTCAACCATCAGTCCCCCCCCTCATTATGCTTACACTGTCTGATATCATCAATCTATGATGTCCAGCTCATTCCAGGAGCGATTTTGTGATGAAGTGTTGTAATTTGCTTCCCCTTACCCCAAAATCTGCTCGTCTGCATCTGTTATAGTCAGTGATTTTCTAAGATTACACAGAATGCCTTTCAGCAAAACCTAGAAAATGCAGAAGGAGCAAGTTAAAGTAAGAAGGGAGGATGCTTTTATGTCAAGGAAAGCTAAGTGTTGCCATTATATGGCTTATATGTTTTTTTAAATGACAAAATGCCTCAAGTTGTAAAAGCTGCAGGGTTATAAAATGAAGCCTCTCTGCAGTAGATGTCTCTATGTATTGTTGTGCAAATGTAGTATAAAAACTTTCTGATATCACTCTAAGTGCAGATGCATTGCAGATATTTTAGTGTGAATAATACGGGGGCACTGAAGAGCTGCTTCAAGTACTGTGGTTTTTATTTTTAAAGGAACATATATGCGTATGACTCTCAATTGCCCATAGGAGTGAGCGTGAGTGTGCAGAATTAAAGGAAAACACTAAGTAAATAAGCATAGAAACAAAGCAAATGCAAATACAGCAGGGCATGAGTGCTCATTGAAAGTTTGGATGAAAGTATCATCAAAACAACTGAGGGAATATCTTTTGGAAAAAATCCCTCCAGGAAGTGTTTCAGATGCTCCACCCATTGTCTGCCAACCCTTTATGTTTGTCATCCAGCTTCAGGTCATGTGATCATCTGTGACTCTGATTTTGTAGCAGATTGTTCTATATTTACTTGAATTTTTATGAAGTGGTTAATGAATGGAGTTGCCTGAGTGTTAAACAGAAGGGTTAACTGTTTGTGCCTCTCATGAATTAGCATTACATTTGGAGTGCTATGCACTGGATTTACCTAGCAATGTTTGAAAAACACATGCCGCTTTATGAAACTCTGTGCTCCTCTGAAGGCATCTAGCATATGGATGAATGTTTTTCTTCAGTACAGTGGGCATGTCACTTCCAGCTACCTGTATTAGGAAAAGCTGTTGCAACTGCATGAGAAATCTTTCACTTTGATACAAAGAAACATTTCTTCATCCAGAAGGTTAGGAAAGTCTTAATG